CCGGGGCGTGCGGTGGGTCCGCTCCCCCCTGCGGGCGGTGTGGAGCCCGGGATAGCGCCGGAGGGACGATGGGAAGCTCGGCCAGAAGTGGGACCCCGCTTGCCTGAGGCGGGGCTGCACGAAGGCGATGGAAACGGGAGTTGGTAGCAGCCTGGCGTACCGCTTGAACAGCACCGGTGTTTATCAAACAGTGGAAAAGTGCGGTGTGGGTGCTCGGCGCTGTGCCTCCCTCCGTGTCCCGCAGCCTGACGTGGCGGGGGGATCCGGGAGAGCAGAGGCATTTTAGCTTTCACATCCATCTCTCCCTCCCTCCTGGAACTCCACCAAATGAGAGCAAAGCTCAACATTGCGCCTATCTGCTCCGCAACACTGGGTGGGTTTAGTGTCACCGTGCATCGGAATGTGAATTCTCACCTGCTTATTCCCAGTGGCTTTTCTTTCCAGTGTTACCAACTCCTTGTTAGTAATAATTCCTGACTTAAGCAGCCTAGCAGTGGGCTAGAACGGCCGCTGCAGAAATAACGGGTTGGAAAAGGCTCTTCTTGCCACAGAAGTTTTACTTTGCAAAAAGAGATATATGGAAGCATGGGGGGGTGCCATATACAACAAGGCTGTGCTGGTCAGCATGGTTTTTCAATATGCTGAGCATTTTGGTAGCTTACATTATTTTCTTTCTCAGTTAGCTTCATGGCAAAAGCATTCTGTGGAATGCTTCAAAAGACAACCATGAAGATAATACTTACATAGCCTTCCTCCCAGGCTGGAGGAGTAGTGTGAGAGGAAAACAAAAATATTTGCAAGGAAAAGAAGCCAGTGGGATGAAGGAAAATGTCGCACAAGTCTGGTATTAGACTCAAGAGCTACCCTATGATGCTCATAATCATGCTACAAAGGTCATAAAATATTAGACTTTGAACCACTTATTGAGAATCATTGAGGCACAGTCTTTACTTGAACTTGAGAAAACAAAATTTGGGTTGAGAGGAAGGAAAAAAAATGGTTATCTGGAAGTCTGTTTAAAAAAGAAGAGGGGAGGCTGTTTGTAGTAGAGAAGGTTAATGGCATTTGGTTTATGGTGAAGGTTTGTTTAAGTGCCATCGTAGAGAATTGTGCATGCCATATTAGGTTAATGAGATGTATAGAAATTGTTTCTGAAAGTGTGTAAAGACTTTTACAGGAAGCCGTGGTAAAAGTTTAAGAAATAAAGTGAAGCTGTACTGCTGCTACTTATAAAAAAAATCCATGCCACGCTAGCTTTTTCTTTGTAATGACATCAAGGCAGAGTAGTTGATTTTATTTTTTAAATATCAAGGTGACCATGCTGTTCTGTGTGTCAGAATCAAGAACGTAGCAGTAGCTGTGACAAAAGCAGCTCGACTTCACCTGTTTCAAGCACAGGAATGGCAGAAGCTGCAGAACAGTGTCCAAGATCACAGCTGTACAGAGAAGTTCTCTAAAGCTCAGCTGACAAGTGAGTTGCTACTTTTTTCCCCTTAAGAATTTGGTTATCTGTGTATTTAGAAGCCTGTTATCTATGTATTTAGAATATTTATTTTGATGAATTTGGACTTTGCATCAAGTTAAGTAAAAGCAGGACTTCGGCCTTCTGTGATTAAAATTTATTACAAGGAAGTAAAACTGCTTTTGTTTGAATCGCTTCGGAAGACTGTTTGCAAGTTATGGTTTAGTATACTGCTGGAAAATGAACAATCCTTAACAAATAATGACTTTAATGCAAACAGCCAAACTTTATGACCAGTTCTAGTCTCATGCTGTCACTTGTACACAACTCAGAAAGGGTACATGTTTGGCTGAAGATTTCGTTTACTCATTCAGTACAGAGATTTTCTTTAACTCCGTTTGGAGTAAAAGTCAGTCTTTTTAATCTCAACCTTTTTCCATAAAAAAAGATTTAAGTTGAGTATTTGAAAGAATTTACAAAGAATATTGTAATATGAAACTGGAGAACCTGAGAATCTAAACATTTGGGACAGTCAAATGTACAGTTTGAATTGTGACTTTTATTGCAGTGGAATGAAAAAAATTAGAGGCAAACTGATGGAGCCTGCTGCAGTTACCTCTAAACTTCTGAAGTGAATGCTTGTAAGGTGGGAGTATATAGCCCAAATACACAATAAAAGGGTAGTTTTGTATCTGCAAACCTTTTTTCTGTGTTCTTTTTTTTTTCCTTTCACAACCTCACAATCATTAGTTTTCCTTTTTTTTTTTTTCTTCTTTTTTTTGTTTTTCTGTCTGTAAGGTCATCTGCAAAAGTTAGTCTGGGTTATGCTGCCTTACTTTGTAACTTGCTTGTATTATCATTTAATGTTCTTTCACCCTTAATTTTGTAATTTGGTATTCATGCCTGAATCTCATATTCGAATGTCTTTAATGTTTGAGCTGAGAATTATACCAGTGCAGAATTTGCAGGTTATCTTGTTGTCTTTTGTTTATGAAGGAACATTTCTCATTTGTCAGGAGGCTCCTGTTCTCCAGTTCCACGGAAGTTGCATTTTTCAAAGACAAGAGAACCAAAATAAAATAGCACAAAACTGTCACGCTTTGATGTACAAACCATGTTAGAAAATTTTTAATATACTATCAAAGATGAGCTAGTCAGGATAAAGCTTAACTTGAGTATCTTGTCTAAATGTAAAAGAACACTAAAACACTGAAGCATTCAGTTATATAACTGGAAGACATACTGAAATAATATTTTTGCAGCATTTATTGATCATAATATTATAAAACCTACTTAAAGCATAATTTTTCCTTTAAGAAATTAAATTAATATTAGAAACTTCACTCATCTGTATATCTTAAGTGGATATAGCTTCTCCATTTCCTCTGTGTGGCCAGACCTAGAGTAACAAATTGGCCTCCTGGAACATTGTCATAATGCAGTCTTACACAGATGTCACTTCTAAGGATGTAGTTCCTTTACACTTGATCTGAGCTGAACGTGAAGCGCTGCTGAAATGGCTAGCAGTTAGCCTGCCGCTCCTGTCTGTCCCAGCAGTATATTCTCTGTTTTCTACTGTGTTTAAGAATCATATGACCACAGGGTGAGTTGGATCTGTTTGCTGATCTTGGGCAAAATCAATTACGTTTTTATTTTCTCTCACTTTGCATGAGTTAGCTTGCAGATTTGATGGAAAACTGATTAAACACGCTCTGTGTGATCCTTAGTCTTGATGCAAGTAACACTGTGTCAGAACTTGGCTGAGAGTTGAGATGCAGAGTAAAGCCACCCCTGTTAGCTGCAGTTTGCCTTTTGTTTGGATTAAGCGCCATATGGAATCCTAAATCTGCGGTTTTTTAAATCTTGGGTATTTTGAAGGGAGCTGGTTCACTTTGTGTGTTTGATTGATAAGTTATGTAGCTCCAGAGTGGAATGCAGATGTACCATTGCCTGCGCAAGGCCAACTGCCTGTGTTAGAGCACTTTTTTTTTTTATTTTCTCTGGTTCCTGTGTTGTCTGAGTTTGTACTTCATGACAATTGCTGCAAAGAAATTTCTTCCTGGATCCTAATATTGATCAGTTCATGTCTTCAGAGAACAGAAAATAACTTATTGAAGTGGAAACAAGTTTATTTAAATTACATGTATGTTTTTCACAGGTAGGCTTCGAATTAGAAATTAGTTCTAAATTTTGTCTGCAAAACATTTAGGGATAATGAGTTTGATAAGGGTTGTTTTGTGTGTGCGTTTGAAGCTTTTTCATTTAGAAAGGCCTTTGCATAAATAACAGAATAGCTTGTTTTGTAGATTATTTTTTTTAATTAAATTTTTCTCTTTCCTCATCCTTCGCCATTGTCATCTTAAACTGTTAAGATTAATAGAGTAATTCACTGTGATTAACAGTCCAGTCATTATATTGTTACTGCTTCTACAGAGATGGCTTTCGTTTATGGTTGAGCTGATTAGCACTCAGGTTCATTAATCAGTGTAGTAGTACTTACGGTTCTTGCAGTTTCATCCAAATATAGACAGCCACAGATTTCATTTGTGGCAGGTGTTTATTTTGGAGAGATTGTTCTTGGTTAACAGTTGCTTTTAGGAACAATAGAGGTAAGATGAAACATCAGTCTTTTGCACAGTTAATTTTAAATGGAATCTGATTTGAAATATGCAATTTTATTAGACGATAGTCTCAGCCCGTAGCTGTCAATTGAAATTCGGTCTGTTGCGGTGTGGGGAAGATGCTGTAAAATATGCTAAGTTGCACCTATTTGTCCTGTCAGTACTGTACTAGAGGATGAAAGTGTGCTAAGCATAGGAGACACAGTTCGCAGTTACTGGCTTCTGGCAGAAGGGAGCTCTCCCAGCAAACCCGAAAGCTGAGAGGTGGAAGGCGGTACATATCCTCACCAACTCTTGCCTTCACCTATTTGAAGCAAAAGATGAATTTGGAAGTCTGGTCTCTGGTGTTATGCCTAGCTTTCAAAACAAAGATGCTTTTGTACTGTATGTAGTTTATAACCTGTATATGATGTTGTGGATTTAAATTTTATCTTCATTCAAAGATGAGTTTTCTAAAAACAAACTAATCAAGTATTTACTCCTATTTTTGTTTGTTGTTTTCTTCCAAAGTGACTGTGAACCACACAGAGCAAAATCTGACAGTGTCCCAGATTCCTTATCCGGAAACATGGTATGTGTTTTATGTAGACAAGTTTACCTGCGAGGAGAATTATTCTGAATCCGAGGATATTCAGTTTGAAATGGTCTTACTAAACCCAGATGCAGAAGGGAATCCATTAGATCACTTTAGCGCAGGGGAATCTGGTAAGATTTTTTTTTCTTAAAATTAGATTTGTAAGTTAAGGATCTGATCACCCAAACAAATCAATACTTACTATTCTTGGAAAAGTATGGGGAATGGATAGCAGAGTCTCTAGTATTTCCTGTTCTACTTTCTCATGGAGAGTGAACTTTAATTCATTTTCTAGCATTACAGAAAAATCCTGCCCTTTCTCTAGACTGACTTTCCAAAACTTGCCTAACTAGAAGTATAGATGCACAAGGAAAGTTAGTGTTAACATCTTTGCTGATAGGTATTTTTCCCATGTTGAAATTGTAAGCTTCCTCTTGAATGTGAATTTAATCCCCAATTTTAATCAATTCATTACATTCCTTAGCTTGTAAAATTTGATTCTGTGCGACGTGAGTACATGCACGATAAAACATTTTGCCAGTACAATTACAGTTCAATGTTTAGGTCTTTCTAAGTATCTTAGTCACAGGCTGCAGACTGGATATTTGTCAGTCCTGATTTTATTTTATCTAAGAAATGCAATTTTAAATATTTAAACGTGCAAAGAAAAACTTTTAGAAGTGACTCAAGACAGCAGCTAAAGAAAAGCCTACATAAAATCATTTGCTTTGGACAGTCCAAACCAACGTAACGTATGCTTCATTGCAAAGCTTAGCTTCCCGGCTCTGGGATGCCTCATTAACAGGCCACTAGCCAAGGTCTGTTGTAAGAGAAGAGCCCAACAGGCTTATTCTGCCTTCATATACAGATTCAGCCTACATACCCAGAATAACCCTAATTGCTGTTCTCAGAATCATATGCCCTGCCGTCATTCTTGGTCTCAAGAGGATTTAGAGGGAACAAAGGCAGCTCCATTTTTGAAGGGAAGAAAATATTCACTGAAACATTTAGCAGACTCTGTAGTAAAGTAGCACTGTTAATAATTCATTTTTCAAGGCTTCTGAATTGACTTACCTGTCTCTTTAACTTCTTAACTGTGCTGCTTAATCTATGAACTTAGTTGGCAGTTCTTATTTGGTGAATTTTGTATCCAGAAGTGAATTCTAGGTTAATTTACTTATTCTCAAAAAGCAGTAGTAGCATTCTTTTGCTGACTCAAGGGACAAAGCGGCTAGCTGTAAGATGTCATGTGGCCCTTGAGAGCAGCGTACAGACCTCCTAGAGAGGCATCTCAGCTCTATATTAATTTTGTAGGAAGGCTTTGAGCACTTGGAAGCAGAACTCTTAACAGCTTGCACGCTGAGTAAGGAGGTGTATAAATATGTTGAATGCATGTATTTAGCTCTAACAACTAGGAAACAGGGTGAGCGGTACATGCCAAGTCCTCCACGGTTGTGGAGGAACACCTCTGTTTATTAAGAATTAAAACGTGCATCTGTGACAGAATCCTGAAGTTAAATGCCTGCATCTACCTTCAGAGAACTGAGCGTTTAATATCTCTTTTTCTCTCTGTCTCTGTCTCTCTCTCTCTCTCTCCTTTTTTTTTTTTTTTTTAAATGTGTCTTTGGGGAATAATGATTGTCATTTTTCCATAGAGGTGTGCAGCTTAGAACATTAGGGTATCAGAGAGAAGATCCAACTTCATTTCTTGGTTCTTTCATACAGGTGACTAAAACAGACATAGTTACAGGTGGTTCTAGTTAGGTCATCCTGTACTTCAGTTACTAAAGTTATGGCCAGACACAGGAGATCTCAAAATTAAATGTACTATGGGAAAGAACTGAGACCACAACCTAGTGATTAAGGTGTTTGCCTTGAGAGAGGAGGAGGCCTGGCTTCTGATCCCAGGCCAGCAATCTTTTATCATTTCATATGGTAGGGTTTTTTATGTAAGACATGATACCAGTGGAATCCAGGATTTCTAAGGGCAGCTGACTAGGCAGGCAGCATTTTGAAGATCTTTGAAGTTAGGTATTTAAAATTAAGGTACACGTGTTTTATTTTCTCTGTCAACTCTAGGTTATCTGAAAGTCAGGAAACTTAAAAAAGACAGGTTGAAAATTACCCTGCTGGGTTGTTTATAGTTGTATTTCAGTGCAACTTTCTCTTAAATCCTTTTGGTCTTAAGCCAATCATCCACAATCTGTCTTTGACTGGAAGGAGCTTTATCCTAAACGTTTAGTGTTTACTAAAAGCTAGTTGGTTTTCCTGGAGTTTTCCATATGTACCCACTCATCATGGTGAGAAATAACTAATCTGCAGAATCCTTGCCATCTTCAGCGTGTGTCTTAAGAAGCAGAAAGCCAAAGAGTAAAAGAATTAGATTTTGGTCTAAAATGCATATCTTTGTTATTCATAAATCATGCTTTCATGTAACCATCATACAAGAGAAGCAGAGTGGCCCTGTAATTTTTGTTTTATGAGTCTTTATTACCTTGTGCTCTTTTTCTCATGTTTCACTGTATGTATGTCCAAAATGATAAATTTTAGCCATAGAAGTTACAGTACTAGTGACTATTCAGAACTTATCCAGTTCTAATGTTTTTCAGCTTAGATACAGAAAAGTTGTAATTGCTCAGTTTCTAATCTCTGGGTGGAGCTGGTTGGAAGTTTTTAGCAGAGTTGTTTTGCTGCTGGAGGAAAAACATTGTTCAGAATCTGATTCTGTGGACACCACTGGGTTTCAAGGAAGGCTGGAGAAGGAAGACATAAGTTTTTTGTGAGAAACGTCTGTTTATCGATTTCTGCTTATAGCTTACTGGCTTTGACCCTTTGGGAGCTCGTGTGATGGGTTCCAAAGCTTCTGGACAATAGAAGAGATTTCCAGGGTCAGAGTCTTCAAGGAAGCACTTTGTCAGACTACTGCCAGACTGAAAATTAGAGGACTTCTGTTTTGTAAATAATAGTAAAAAGTTTGGGCATTTTTTTCAGATTGGCGCAAAAAAATCCACTGTCAACTTACTGTTCTCTGTGCTATTTTTCTTTATCTAGCAGTTTTCTGTCTTCGTCAACTGTGCTGCTTGGACTATTTTATGTGGAGGAAGGGTGACACCCAGTGGTTAAATAGGTGCAACAGAAATCTGTTCTGGGCTTCTCTCATGTCAGATTGTACCTTTCAAAATTGAAGAAAAAAAAAAAGTTAAAAATTAATCCTTTAATAAATATGTTCCTGACTGATCAAATGGGCTACAATTATTTCCTGTTTATCAGGAAACTTTATGCTACTTGATACTATTTCAGTAATTGCTACAAAGCTATTTGTATTTTAACAGAATCTCTCCTACACTCAGAAAAGATACTGTTGAATAAAAAAATACTTTGTCAGATCAAATAATAATCAGCTCTGGAAAAATTCGGTGACTTCCGTGGACAAAATAGGCTAGGATTTACTCATTTGAAGTGTACTAACCTTTTGGGTGACAGTTACTAAGTATTTCCCAGCAATTACATAAAAAAAACCCGTATTTTGTTTTAGTTATTTACTGCTAGTAGCAATGTTTCTTTATAAAAACTAAGCAGTGTTTGTTGGTTGTTTTTTTTTTTCCCCCCACAGGATTACATGAATTCTTTTTCCTGCTTGTCCTGGCATACTTCGTAACTGCTTGCATATACGCACAGTCCCTATGGCAAACAATTAAGAAGCGTGGACCTATGCATACTGTGTTAAAGGTGTTGACAATTGCTTTACTATTGCAGGCTGTTTCAGCTTTTGCCAACTACCTGCATTTCTCGAGGTATCTTTGCTTATTTTTGCTTTAAGACTTGAAGAACATTGTGTTGTAAAGATCAGTACATGATCTTTCCTGTGGTGATTGTGACAAAACATAGAATTGACTTTTTAGAACTGCATCATTGCCTAAATGTACATATTCAAGACTCACTCACTTAAAAAATATCATCTTTTTATTCTTTTATCAGTTATTCTAAAGATGGAATAGGAGCACCTTTTATGGGAAGTCTGGCAGAATGTGAGTATGCTTGTCTACTGTTTCTTACGTATTCCTACGCATTAATCTGTATAATACATTAGCGAATCCTGTCGTAGGACTGTATCACTGGTTTTTTAACATAAAATACTAGAAGCTGCTCTTCTGAAAACCAGGGTTTATTCTAGATGTTTACAATCACTGTTCTAAAGTTATAGTTGTGGTATTGTTTAGGATTTTTGAAAGGATTTTCTTGTCTGAAGATTCCTTCGTACAAAGACTTAAATACATGCATATCACATGAGTAAATGTTTCAGTACATTGAAGGGTTTGCAGAGTTTGCATCATCTAGAGTAGTGAAGCTTTTTAGAATACTTAATTACATTTTATGGAGTGTTGTCATTTCACTAGTGAATTAAACATTTATTATAATGGAAAAGTAGGTGTTTTACAGCATGAGCGATATGATTAGTGTGATGCAAAAAGTGCTTATGTAAAGAATTGGTGATAACAAAGCATTTTTCTTCACTCTGTAAATATTCTGAATTCTCACTGGAGCTGAATTCCTGTAACATTTTCCCTCAAAATGCACTAAGTTACTTTTCTTGGATTCTTCAGTGTTAAATGTTGTTGTTGGTTTGGGTTTTTTTTTCTGTAGCTCACATTTGAAGCATTGGGTTTTTTTTTTCTCAGCAAATACATTGAGTTTTGATTGGCTTGAAGCACCCCCAGAAAGTAGTACTGTGGTAGTGAGATAGCGTTGGAGAGTAACAGCCTATATAGAAAAATATTTCCCTTCCTAGAGTTCATTTAGAAGCTTGCAGTTGGAATTAACAGCCTCTTGATGGCACTTGGCACCACAGTAATTGCTTCTTTCTTGTTTTAACCGTTTGAGTTAGCAGCTCCTTGCAGCCTCTCCAGCAACTGTATTATTAAACTTTCCCTCTCGTCTCTTGAAATGCAATTAAATAGAGAATATGGAGGTAGTCATAACTCCTCCCCAGTGAGAAACCCAGTGTTAAATACACAGCCAGAACTTCAGAGAGAGTAGCTTCATGTTAGATTTTCTGTGTATTGTTGTGAAGAGCCCACTTTTATTTACTTAAAGCAAAGGTTATTAAGAATAAAACTATTTTTTTTTAATTTTGAAAGAGAGTTTTTTCTATTCTACTGTTCTTAAGGTTCATGGTTCCCAAAACAGTAAAAGAACAGAAGTAGTAGAAATGTGGAAAGCTTTGTTGTCAATTACAGTTCTGAAGAATGGCTGATAGCAAGTAGTATAGTTTGAAGATGGAAGGTGCTACTGTTTTTCCTATATCACAACAGAAATCTGAGTTAAAAGTAAATGGTAAAATTTCTGTTTGCTGCAGTGGGGCTAGAATTTCTTCCTAGAAACCTGTTCGGATGCTATCCCAAGCAATTACTCTTTTCCTACCGTCATTTTGTCTTTACCATGTGTAAAGACTTGACCCTCAGTCTAATTTATCGCCAGAGTTAATCACATAAATCATACAAATAATGCTGGCACTCACAAGCATTACAAATAGTGACCTTTTAACTTTTGGTAAGACCAAAATGTGAAAAGTCAAGGAATATTATTGTGAATATTATATTATTAACAGCCAAAAAACATGAGCTGTGATGAAATCAGACAAATATGGTATCAGCTCAGTAGCAGTGAGTTTACGCTGACCCTGGATATCATGGGATTATTGTAATTCTAGAAATTTCTCTCAACCTTCTTACTTTCTGGCAAGGTATATGAGATGTCAAAGATTAAAGCTGGTACTGAATTTTTATCTTATACCGTTTTGTCTGGAAATCCATTTGAATTGTTGCCACACTGAAGCAAAGCAGTATCTATATCCAAGATGTGATTGAGAGATGATGTCTGGCTATAACTTATAGGGCAAGCTATCTTAAGGAGAGACAGAAAATAAAATGCTCTCTACAGCGTCCAGATTTGTTGTAATTTTTCTACCTTGGATTTGTGACACTGGCATGCCTTGGGTTCACATAACAATTTTTTTCTAGCAAGTACTATGTCTCCACAGCTAGCATTGTGAAATAATTCCAAGATCATTTTGCCCAAAATCAGTGCCAGTTCATTTTATTAAAGAATGAGCAAGTTTGTATTTACTGAAAGCTCTTGACATTTCTTAAACAGCAAAGGTGTCTGAATACATTAAGAAGCGTTTAAGCATATAAACTGTGAGAATACCAAATATATCTCAGGAATAACATGTTGAGGTCTGTTTTATATCCATATTTTGCTAGTATTGATGAGCATCGGGGAAATATTGTGTCTGATGTTCATTTAACACACTTCGCTGGTGTGCATATTAATCTCTGTACAGAGGCAACATTTTCTGTGCCAGTATTTTTAGTAAATGTGGAAGTACATTTATCTTTTATAATACAGTCCAGTTGTATAAAAATAGAAGTTTGCTTTTGTGACATAGAAATATTTTTTTTGTACCTGATAGTGTAAGTGGAAATTACAAATAAGGAACAAATTTAATTGAACTAAAATATTAAATCATGTGAAATCAAGTGAAAAAGGAAGTATTGTTGTCTAGTGCCCAATCTCTAGCTTCCGAACCGAATTTGAAACTTCCATAATATAAGAATCGGGTTTTTTTTTCTTGTACATCTCTGCTACACCGGTACAATGAGCCAGTTTACTCTCAAGTCCCAGCACCAACTTAAAAATTGTTCGGTGAGTTTCAAAGACCTACCAGGTCTATAGCTAACAATCACCCAGAAAGAAATCTTCAGTTCTTTCTACTGTTGGTAGTACTTCAACAAGGCTGACATTTAATATATTCTACCTTGAAGATTTCTTTATTCAGCCACAGCTTCAAACACAGGTTTGAGACGCTGACTAAGAATGTAACTTTATGGAGTATGTGTTAATTGTTCCCAAACAGAGGGGAAAAAAAATGGACATAGCAAAATGAGACAAAGGTAGTTTGCATTTAATAAAATGAAATACAGGCAAGTTGTTGCTCCAAATGGAATTTGTGTTAGGGTTAGTCATTATATTTTTCCCTTTAATATCTCAGAGTGGAATTTGTCCTAAATATTTGTGCTTTCTGTTGCAAGCTACTGCATCCTTAAGACAAAGTGCGATTAATTTAAAGTACAATGCAACTATCTGATTTTGGAACAAAAGGTTTTCAGTGCAAAGAAAGGAGTTCATTTCATCGTGTTTCATATTTGCAGTGTGATTAACATACATACGATTTTAATTCTTTAGCATTTGTAAGTCCATTTATGCAGATGGAGTCCTGAGCCCAGACTTCTTTGATACAAGAGTGGGCTTGGGAAGGATGTGGCACTGTGCCCATGTTGTTGCAGAACTGCAGCGTAACTAGAGGAAGGCTGATAGTGATCTGTTCAGTCACTGGAAACTACTCAAAGTACCCACATTTTGTGGCAAAGCCATCTCAGCTAGTCAAACTATCATCAAAATTATGACTAAAGGTGATACAGAGGCGTGAATGTCCATCCTTCATTTGTGGCTCTATATAATGTTTCTCTTTGCTTTAGAAAAAAAAAATATTTTTGTGTTGACTGTTTATTTTTCTTTTGTTTTCAATAGTGTGTGACATAGTCTCACAGATCCAAATGCTATATTTATTGTTGAGTCTGTGTATGGGTTGGACGATAGGCAGAATGAAGAAATCTCATGGCAGACCTCTTCAGTGGAATTCCACTCCAACATCTACTGGCATTGCTGTAGTAGTTGTTGTTACACAGGTTTGTATCTTATATTCATTCTTATACTGAAATATACAGCTGCTATTAAGTATGACAGAAGTGTGAACCAACTAATTTCAATATTTTATGAGGGAAGGAGTATCAAGACTGGAAAAAAACCCACAGCATAATGTACACCTAGTATGTCTAATAGGTAACAACACCTTCTCTTTACTTTAACAATTTAAGGTGTAGCTCCACAGTATGTTTTTGTTCAGCAGTAAAACCACTTAAGAAGTTCCCACAGTTTTCCAAACTCCTGATTGTGCCAATTGTTCATAGCATTATACTGTAAACCAGATCAATGCAATGATCTAGATTGTGGGGGAAAAAAAAAATATATATTTCAGCACAGTCATTTTACTGATGTGATTTATAATGTGATCCTATAAATAGCTGTAATCAGTACAACTGAGAGGTGATGAGCTACCTTGTGGGGGCTGACAACAAATAGCATGAGAGGAAAGATGAGAAAAGCTGCTGTGAGAAATTCTTTCTGTCACCAAAACAAAATTGAAATCCTCGGTGTCCTCCTCCTCTTAGAACCACTCAAATAGGATGTCTAATGGGCTTTTAAACAATACAAGGGAATTCTTGAAAGGTTCATTTGCAGGATTGGTCTTGCAAATATACAAATGATCTGACACATAATTTCATTCAAATATTTTCCATTAGTATAAATTAGAAAGTCAAGTAAACCAGTAACTTAAAAGTAAATTGTAATGGAGATCATCCAACCCTGGTGGTGCCTTTTGTAAACAAATTTTTTTAAATCGCAACATAAAACCAAGAGAATCTGAAAGCAATTGAGAAAGAGAAGAGCAGGGAGAAACTGGAGACAGTAATGAGGAAGAGATTATACTGAAGATTTTGTGCCATTTGAGTGGTATCTGTAATTAGTGCTGCTTCCAAACTAAATAAGTGGACTGCTAAAACATTAAGAGTAGCTGGGAGCTGACATTTCTTGCTAATTAAGAATATAAACCAAAGGCTGTTAAGGTCAATGGGACTGTTGAAATTTCAAGATAGGTTCGTTCCACCTTACTTTGACACCCAGCTAGCACCAGAAATTTTAGATGCTGGTAGTAAAGAAGGGTTCTAAAGTATTTAATTTTATTTATGTCTCTCCACTCATACATACATACATATGGGTGTGTTAGTACTCTGTCACTTCAGGCTGGAAAGTTTTTTTGTTGTTGTTTCCTTTTTGGTATACATAGAAAGGACACTCAGTGTCATTACCTTGATCTTTTTTTGTTTGCTACTTGTGGTAAAAATTTGGGCAGGTATCATATGTATATGCTGCTTTCCCTGGTACTGGTCCATTACACATCTCTGTTGGGTCTTTGAGCACCACTGGAGCGTTGGTACAAATAATTGCTAGCACAATTTGGCTGTCTTACTTTTCACCACGAATGCACAGCTCTGCCACATTTCTGCTCCTGGTACCATTGGGAATGTCAGGTTTGGCAGGTGTCTTGTAGGGAGAGAATATGCATATCAGAGTGTGTCATTGCCTGGGTAGTTTTGCACCCCCATCTCAGTATCTGCTGTCTCCAGCAAAAGTGCCCTGACACCAAGAGTATCCTTGCCCCATCTGGAGAGGGTGTTTTCTATCTCATGGTTCAGTACATACAAAATATACCTTCTGCCAGATTTCTTCTCCTTAATACAGAATGCAGCTGTTGAACTCAGGCGAGCAGGATCCAGGCCTCATCACCTCTGTCAAAGATGGTGAGCTCAGGACTTCATTCTCTGGATTAGTCTGTTGTTCACTGATCTCTCTAGATTGATGTGGGTGTTGGACCTGCTGTAACAGGGCAATCAATGAGCACTTTTAATGATTAAAAACCTAGAATAACCTCCTTTCTGTCATGCTCTTTCCCAGAGATTCTTAATGGGAGAGCCAGCTTCCTCCCATGCCAGAGGTTGGACAGACTTATGTGGATAATCAGAGATGTTCTGAGGGCTTGCTGTGGAGGATGCTGAAAACTGCATGTGTTACCTTAACGCATGTTCTGAGGGCTTGCTGTGGAGGATGCTGAAGACTGCGTGCGTTACCTTAACGCGGCAGATGGAGATTGAACCGTGTTAGTTTTACTGACATTCTACACTACCTGTCCTCATGTCATCTTCAGGGAAGTTAAGCAAGTGGACAGCCTGGCAAACATGTTGTTCTTCAATTTAACTGCTGTTTTGACTGGCAAACTATCTGACCCTGTTTGCCTGTTAATAGTTCAAATTACTCAGCAAGTTTTCAGGTTTTTTTTTCTCCTTTTTGTACTGATGCTATGGACTCTTCCTTTTTGTTCTTTCAGAAACACCAGCAATTTCCCAGGCTGTGTTTACAGGTTGCCATCAGTGTGGGGTGGACACAACCTCCCAGTCAGCAAATCTCTTGTGGTCTTTGCAGCTGCAAACAGGTAGCATCTCAAAAGAGTGACAAGTCTGCCATTCAGCATCTGCCTTTGCCTTAACTTGTTCTTTATTTCAGCTTCAGAACAAAAGATTCCCAGGCTGCTCTGCGTCCGTTAAAGATTCCATTCTTTGCTGCTGAGACACAAACCTTGTTCAAAACTATTGATGGCAGGCCTTTCCCATCACATAGGCCTGAGCAGTTTCAGCTTTCAGGGCTGATCGGAGTGGAGGCAATGATTCTAGAAAGATAGCTGATCACTTTGAACCTGACTGAAATGACATAGAATCTTAACTGCATTAGTCGTCACGTTTCACAGAGGTTCTTATATGCACCCCCAAAGGTGTGCTCAAAATAGGCTCTGTCTCTGATCTTGGATCTAAATCATTTTTACCATACTGACATTGCATGACATCAGATACCCAAGTACTAGCTATGGTTAGAAGCGGCTAGTTAATCCACTTTACTTTGTTGCTACTTTTAATTTTCCTTTAGTTTCCCCCTTCCCACTCAGAGATGATCTGTCCCATGAGAACCTGCCTTTACTGGAGATTGATATGTTATCTTGGCTTGCCATAAAGTCAGTGTTGGCATAGCAAAGGGGAGGAGGGGTTCTACCGTAATTGTTTCCTCATGACAAAAGAAGAAGAGTGTCTGGTTCTTCATTGTATGGACGTGGAGGTTCAACTTGTATATCTGGAACATCAGGATGATGTCCGTGGCAAACATTCTTCTAGCATTTGAAGAGCAAGACCAGTACTGGACAGTGGTGTCCTCTGTGACCCAAGATAGGTCAGAAGTATGTGCAGGTGAAGGCAGGCAGTTTGAACAGTGTGCTATGTAAACAAGAAGATGGTCATTCTCCTGTGCTTTATGAAGAAGCAGTTGTGACTTTAAGGTTGGACATAGGTATTGCACATAGGTATTTGACTTAGCTCTTCAGCTACCTGGCTCATCCAGTTCTTTTGTCTACAGCTAGAGCAGAGTTGTTCTTTTGGATAACAATTAGAATTCCCTCCAATTTCTTCTCAGAGCTCAAACGTAGTTCTACTTGCTGTCAACAACAAAAAAAAAAGACTCTGATATCCACTTCAACAGATTCATGTCTGAGTGGTTTTTTAGCTTGTTCCTGATATTACAGCTAAGTGATCTGATGTATGCCTTTCTGTGGTCAAGGTAAAGGACTTCAGGGCTTTATTGACCTTAATTTCTCAGGCATAGTCAGCCAAAGAGATTTTGACTTCAAGGTCATGCTTGTCTATGAAAGCTCTTCCTTCGTTTAGAACAGATTGCCTAATCCTTTGTAACCTAGAAATGCTCCATAGCACAGATTTCTTTTTTTGTAAGATCCTGCTTTTCTTTGGTGAGCAAGAACAATCCAGTAAGTAAGAGCAATGACACATGTTCACCTTGTCTGAGTTTCCAGTGTGTTGCACTGACTGTTCCATCTCTGCCTCTAATGCAACTGAAGGAAGCTGGACTTCTGTGATCTTACATTGCTGTCACTACACACGGTCTTTGATCAGCTGGTTTCTGTGTTGTTTATACTCTTTAAAGGACTAGTCCAGAGCATACCCTGCTGTCGGACACTATTTTCCCATGGGGATATGGACTTTGTTCTCATGATTCCTTTACCCCAGCTCTTTGTCATCTTCTCATGAAAGAGGCGTCCTTTATTGTTGTTACTATTGGTGTAGGTTAAAGAAAATTCAAACCCTCATGAGCTCTGTTCTTTAAGGTTAAGCTATCCCTGAGATCTAACTAAAGTTTCTTCTTGAAGCAGTATCACCGTTCCATCTCCACCAGCCTATATTTCTTCCCCCCAGATATGTGCTTAAGTCAGGAAGATTCTGTATGTAGGAGATGATTGGGGATTTTTATTTTCTCAGGCAGTGTATGTCCAGTCCAGGGAAGTGAAATACTTCAGCTTTACACTTCCCAAGTGTAAATACCAAAAGGCGAAATGCTCTGTACAAGACTGCAGTGATTCTGTAACTGGTAGAACCCTTGTTTGTTGCCTGAGCATGTTCTACCTGGACTGAAATAACTTCTGTGATAGGAATTCATCGATTTCATGCCAAAACTAGTGCTGTAGACACAACTTTAACAAACACTGTGCTGTATCTCAGGGTTTCAGGAGCCATTTAGTCTTATTTCAGTCTTACTTCTTGACAGAATTCTCAGTCAAGTAGTTTGATCATTTGTAGATGTTTGCTTGGGGTTACTCAGAAACAGTCTGTTACTGTGGGAACATTTGAAGCCTGTTGGTCAGATTGTTTACTAGTAACCAGTGGTGTTCAAGATGTGCATGCTTCACATCTGTCCCTCTATCCTTCCATTTTCCATCCAGGTAGCTGAGGAGTGACAGAAATGATAGCAATTGTGCTTGCTGTGTCACGGCCTAGGTGAGTGAGGTGAAAAGCATGAGAGTACTCTCTGAGGATATTCTAAGCAAAAATGATTCTGTCTTGACTGATGAGACTCTAAAGACACCCACCTTTGGAAGGCACAGGTGGATTACACTTTTTTTTTAAAAAAAAAAAAGTATCAGTAGCCTTTTTGTCTTTATGTAGTTAATGTAGTGAGAGTGCCTTTGAATGCCTTCAGAAAGGAATCTGACTAATTTAGATTTCTAAATTGAGGCGTACAATGTCTGCTTCTAAAGGCCTTCAGAGCTACCTCACCCATATAAATCAAATTTGCCTACCTTTCTTCAGAAAGCCTACTTCATTAGGCACCTGAAACGTAAGTGCAAGTTAGATGTGTGCAGTAGGTGGACTGGATTCCCGTGTATATTCACATCTTAAAATGCCATCCGGCTGCTGCATGATGCTGGGAGAGTCTGAATTTTGTGTATTCTAATTTATAACGTTAACATTCCCAAAGTCTTAAAAAGGTATTCTTAGCAAGACCCATTTTTTTATGCAGCAAGTAGGCGCCTGCCTTCTAACCAACTAAGATTCAGAAACCAGGCATTTCTTAGTCTGTTTTTCTTTAGCCAGTCTATCAATACTTTTTCTCATAGTGCTTGTACAAAATTGGATTCTGCAGCAAATGGGTACAGTGCTGAGAGTTAAGGAGGATTACCGTCTTTCATGTAGTTATCTGTTGGCTAGAGTGTTTGTCCAGATGTTGGATCAGCATTTGGAACCTGTGACGCTCCCTTTCCTAGACCCTAGGAGGTTTCTGAGCTGGTTGCTTGCAGAGTCAGGCTCGCTCGCAGTTTCTGACCTAGCTGATGTTGAATTCTTTTCTCCACAATGGCACGGCTTCAATAGAAGGGGTGGAGAGTGGCCCACCCAAGAGCAGCCTATAGCCTGGCAGTTGCAGCGCTCTCCAAGGAGGTGGGAGATGCAAGCTGGATATCCTTTAGGCAAAGAAGGGAATTGTGGGAGATCCAAGTTCAACCTGGGTGAATGCTTGAGCCTTTAGGCTATTGTATAAAAGGGGCAGCAGCACCACCCTCTTACTTCCCCATCTTTGCAAAGAAAAGTGAATCCTGTTAGGATTTTGAAAGAAAAGGCGTAGTCGTCTGCCTTTGAAACAAGCTTTACAGGTTGTGGATCCCAAGTGGAAGGAGACACCTCCCTGTAGCTCTGTGGAATCATTTCAGTGGTCTGAGTAGGCCGACTGTTTAACATAGTGATTATTTTGGATCTTATGCTAAGGTGCCACTTTCCTTCTATCTAAATTGGAGGAAACTTTAACTTGTCAAACTTCCTAAAAGTTACGGAATGCAAGAAGTCAGACTCTGTTCCTTCCAGTTGCGCTGGGATTAATAGGTAGTGCCAAAAAGCAGTTCAGGTTTTTTGTGTAACATGGCAGTCTCCAACAAGCAGAGTGGAACATGACCAGTTGTGCAGATAATTTAATCTGCGATGGGAAGATTAATTGAAGTTTAGTGTAACCTTGTTTACTCTAAATGTAGTTTGCTGTTGTTGTTCTTTTCCAGAGCTTTTTATTAATTTGGGAGCAGTTTGAAGACACGAATCACCACAGCTACCATTCACACCATGGCTTAGCAAGCGGACTGCTTATTGGCCTCCGAGTTTGCCTAGCTTTGTCACTGGCTGCTGGTCTTTACCAGATCATCACAGTGGAGAGAAGCACGCTGAAAAGGGAGTTCTATATCACCTTTGCCAAAGTATGGGTGACATTAGGGAAACTGATCCCTTCTGCTGTAAATATGATTGTGGCATGCAGTTGACTGAAGCACTAAACTCTTTTCCTTCCCAAGAAACTTAGTGTTTAAGTGTCTGATTTGATTAAATTGCACCCTGTCATCATACTCTGAGTAGTCATTTTAATTTGACAAGGAGCATAGAGCTTTTTTAAACAGAAATCCCACCTTTCATTGTGTGGTTTTCGTTCTGTTGATTGAAAATTAAACAATGGGTTCGTAAAATAGACAGAAATGTAAATGCAATTCCTCTAACTGTCATCTCTTTCTTCTAAGCTGGCATGTAGTCATTTTATAACTTATACTCATCTTCTCTTTCAGGCCTGCATTCTCTGGTTTTTGTGCCACCCATGTCTTGCAACCATTGCTGTAATATTCAGAGAATATCAAAGAGAAAAGGTATGTACAGGCAAGATAAAAGAGATGGAATTTGAATAGTAGTTGTTCTTCATGTTCAGTGTTTGTTAGCAAACTCATGCTCTTAGGCTGTTAATCTTATGACCCTAAAGCAACTTGAAAAGTCTTAGTCACACAGCTCTCATTGATGCTAATGTGAGTCATATTTTACAAAGGCATACAGGGTTTGAATCATCTGAGGGTAATCATTTCTAGGTTAAGGGAGGGAGAGGGGGAGATTGTTAAGTCAAAGGAAAATGTGGAGGGGGTGTTTTATTTTATTGTTTGCTTGTTTGTTTTTTAATTAAAAACACCTTGGGGATTCTTTTAACAAAGCTAATGGAAAGATCAGTGGAATTTTTTTTTGTTGTTTACTTTTTAGTCTTCATCCTTTAAAAGTTTTATGTGGCTAAATAGGTTGCGGAACCTGTAGCTGAACTGTATTTTTTTAGATTAAGAAATCTGTCCAAATATGTAGTTTGGTTTGTAAGTTCCAAACAGTTAAAAACAAAGGTGGACTCACTGGGTTTCTCGGTTGCTTAAATGTGTTGGGAACTAGAGAACTAGTGTGTAGAGCCTGCCATGTTCAGATAAAGTGCACTACTATTCTCAGGTGATTAACTACCTCATTCCAGGGTAGAGTTTGCTGCTTTTCTTTATGGTTGTAACCATCTGTATGCAAATATTTTCTTGAAATTGAGCATTTATTTGTGTAGAGGCTATGTAAGGGAAAGAAAAAGTTTCCACCAAAAAAAAATGTAGTAAATTAAATACTACATCTGATTTAAAAAAAAAAAAAATCTAGAGAGAAAGAAAGACTCCTCTAGAGCTAGTAATGAAAGGACCTTTTGTTGTTGCTTGATGAAAACATCGTCAGCGCAGAAGGACAATCTCGAGAGGTAGGATCAATAAAGGAAATTTTTGCACTATTTTGAGATTTTGAGCTTACTGGAGGGAGAGTACAGTTGCTCTGCTTTTGCATTGTATGCAGCTGCAGTTCCTACCTTATGATAGTTTGTCTGTGTTTCCTTTTTTAAACGCACTTCAATGCAATAAAGAAATGCATGATCAATAAATACTGTATTTGTTTAAGAAAAACATGTATTCTAAAAGACTCTCTGTACATAAACTTAGACTTTTGCCTTCTCAGAAACAGTAGTTACCTTAATGCACTTGATAAATACTCCTCACACATCTTTTACCAATTAAGAGACTTGCACTGAAGAGAGGTCTGGCTAAATGAGACTGATAAATTCCTATCCTCATAGCTCCATGATTGTGCTAGTGCAAAGTGTTTCCAGGCTTTTTTTTTCCATTCTGTTTGTTGTAAGAATAGAATATCTAAACATCACCTCTGCTTGTGAAACTGCATGGGTGGTGAATTGCAAGTCTGAAATTCCCCAGAACAGAGACTGCCAGAAGGGTTATGTGACTTGCCCGGGGCTATCTGCTGCTTTGAAAACACCCAGGTGTGAGAGTCTGAATCCTGGACTTGAGATTCATGTTCAAATCTTTTGTAACTGCAGCAGTATTAACAGGTTTAAAGTTAAACCTCAAGCACTTACATAGTATGATGATAGAAATTTATTGTGGGTTGTTTGGTGGGATTTTTTTTTTTTCCACTTACTTTTCCCCTTTCTCTTTCTTTTTTTTTTGTCTCTAGATTATTACCATAGGTGTTATCCTCTGTCAGTGCATCTCCATGGTTATCCTTTACAGACTTTTTCTATCTCATAGTCTATATTGGGAAGTATCTTCGCTGTCAGCAGTGACTTTGCCACTAACGGTATCCTCTGGACATAAAAATCGACATCACTTTTGAGATGTTTCGGAAGAATACATTATGTGCAATAATGACTTACCTATACAGGTTGTTTCTTGTCATAGGTGTGTGATACATTGGTTTCACTGGAAAACTGAGTGATGATATCAGAGCATTTCACAGACCTTTGGGAAAAATCCGTAATTTGAGTAATTTTATAAATACTGTTTTTGTGTAGCATGTGGTGCTGAGCTGTGTCACAGAAAAGTACAATGAATCTTCTCTCTCCCATTCACAGACACAAAAAAAAGTCCTTACTTTCTATCAATACTAGGTTTGAAGGTCTTATAAAATGCAGTTCTGAAAACATCTACAAGCTCAAACAAGTCTGAAATAGGCCAGTTGTGAAATTGGTGTGATGCGTAACGATGAGTACAAGTTCTTTTTATTTTCGTGCTTTAGAGAAAATGCATTTTATGTGTAAGTGTAAAAGAAGGGGAAACAAAAGAAGGAGCATCCCCTAGAAAACACATGTAAAATGTTCACAACTGACTGTGAGAAACTTTCCTTTATTATTGGTGTAAAAGAAAGGCCTTTCTTGCAACTGATGTTCATACTGCTTAAGATTTTAATGGGAATGAAAATAGGGTTTATATCTGCCTTTCTTTTTTAAATGGATGTAACTAAAAATTTCATCCAGTAATGAAGGTCTAAACAGTATTTGAGGCTTAGAAGACATAGCAACATAAAGGTATTTAAAACAGCAGGCTTGCATCTTTTAAAGAAAAAAAAAAAAGGCAAAGTAAATGGAATGGGTGATGTGGTACTAGAATTTTAATCCTGATATAATTCATTTCTGTTACATTGAGGATTCAATCATAATTAAGCCATATACACAGATTAAATTAACAGAAGCATTTCAAATAAATGTTGGTTTCAGTCATCAACTACCCATGAATTCCTGCCCAAGGATACTTAATCAGGATTAAATTTTCTATGAATAATTGAAAAACAAAATACTCACTGGATTTGTTATAATCCATGTTGGCACTGGGTTCTAAGTAGTTGCCATCTTCCATCCATTGTAATGAAGCCATACTACTTTGTGATGCCCTAGCATTCAGAAAGCCAGTGTAAATATATACTTTATTGAAGTGCCTATTTATTGAGTATGATTAAAACTTGCTGACATTTTTTTTCCTTCATAATAAGAACATACCTATTGCCATTGTGACTGAAATCTTTCTTTTTGGATTTAGTTTAGTATTTGTCAAATTTTATTTGACAAATTTCTTTTTGTATGTGTGTGTTACTTCACAACATGGATTTTATTTTCTAGTAAATGAATGTTTGTTTCTTCTTAACAGTGTATATTTAATTATGTCTCTGTGAAAATGGGAAGACACCGGAGTTCCAGCTTCAAAATAGCCGTGACTTTTCTATTCATGTTTGCCTCAGTTGTGAGCATAGTTGAAACATAAGTCTGTTCCATTTTAGTTTAGAGGCAAAATTAGACATTTGCCTTCAACTAAGGCAAAATGGCAACATGACAAAGTTGCTCATTAAATCATCTCCTTTCTTATTGTTTGTAATTCAGATCAAGAATGGCAGGTTGAGGCTGGAAAAGATGAGATATTATGATTTCACACAATCTTCAGAATGATTAAAAGATTAATTATTACATTCCTCTGATAACCACACAAAAATTTTATTGGTTAAAACGTCAGTCTTTATTTCCCTGCTTATCTCTGTACTTTTCATCTTCTCAAGAAAAAAGCTTCTGGTTTTGATAAGTCTCCAGTAGTGCAGTAGAAGAGTTCTATCTGTCCTCATGTATAAGACGTGAAATTCACACTTAAAATAGTATTTTCTGATAGACACAAGAACTACTTTACAGTTTATGATCCATTCTGATAAAAGCTTTAATCTATGCAGAAAAACCTCTGTGTGACTTTCAGAAGATGCGCTCTGTTTGTTTTATTCTCCAGAAGTATTTTCTTACTTCCTGTAGTCCCTCCGACTTCGACCGGTCAGTATTAAGGTAGATGTTATCTTAATTTCACCTTATAAATATACCCTACAATAATTCATAAAACGAATTCACAGTTAATCTGAGTGTAAATATGAAGCGTAAGATGTTGTCTCTTAATCTTTTCCAGATTGCCCCGTAAGTCAACAGATAACATTACCCTCTTAGTTTGGCATTGAATCCAACAATTTGAAAATTTAAATTTTGCTATTAATGTCACTGTAGCAATTACATAGCACTTTCTCATGGTAAGCAGTACAAAGGACATGCATTTTTTGCCCAGGTCTAGTAGCACTCACCAATTTTATGTTACTATATATTATATTAACGGGTACTGTAGCAGTAGGTTGGTATGACTGCAATAGTATTCAAGATGTCAGTTAATTTGGTGCAGGCTGTCTTTGGGGGGAGTCTTCGAGTATGACTAATTTACAAAGTTTTTGTACTTAACCTGTACTCTAGCTTGAAGCTTACTGCCTCTGGATCATGCCCGAAGGGTGGTTTGAGTATATGAAAGCCTATCTCTTCTTCCTAACTTACATCTTCTGAGAGACCAGCTGATAAGACCTTGGTTTTTTCATGCTTATTCACACAGTTACCCATTTTATCAATTTGGTTTCATAACCTCGTCTTGAAAGAATAGCTTCCAGCCTTCTTTCGGTTGTCTTTGATCAGTGCATCCTGACTGCAAAACTTTTTCTTTCTCTTTTTCGAAAACATGCTTTACTTCACAAAAAAAAAAAAAATAAAAATAAAGTTTTCTGTCACAAACTGGGGCTCTCACATACATCTGAGGAACTCGGCACAGCACCCTACATCAGCTGTGCGGCAGGTGACAGCAGTGGACAAAAGCGCTCCTTCGGGACGCCTGCAGCCCCAGTGTGTACGTGGTGCAGGTTTGTGCCCCCTGAAAGCTGCCCCGTACCTGGGGAATTCTCAGGGAGAGCTGCTGCAGCTCCGGGCTCGCTGCCGCCTGGCTGCTGCAAGGGGCTGAGGCGTGTTCCCCCTGAAGGCCACGCTGCCACTGCTGACCATGAAGAACAGCACTGTTTAGTTGAGGTCAAATGATGGCATCTTACCTGAGAGTTTCTGTGCTTTATGTGGTTCTGTTTTAAATAAACTCTGCAGTTACAGAGTATAGTAGTTCTATTGCCCACGCGTTGCAGTGCTTGGAAAGGACAAGTCAAGTGTATATTGGCATGACCGCAAACTGAAGTCGGTTGTGCTCTGAAGAAATCCACTTCCATGTGTGAGAGGGTATCCGCTTGCCAGCGGTCACCTTTTCTACAGGCACAGATGCCAGTTTGCATCAATTATGATTTGGTGGTTGGGGAGGAGGATCCCAGTTCAGGAGAGATGAGGGTGAGATCACCAACTCGGTCTACAAGACCCCCACCACAAGCTGCAGGGAGGGATCATCCTTCATTGCTCCTGACCAGTGATGCGGAGGCTGAAGCGGTTCTAGGGCTCATCACAAGTCCCCTAAGCTATTTGCTCACCTTCTGTGTAGAATGTGTTTGTTGTACATTTAAAGTGCTTCAGGTAGGAAAATGAATATTTACAGTTAAATATATGTAAATGGAAGTGGAAAGGCTTGATTGGAAAAATATCAAGTTTCTAATACATATTACTGTACTAAGACCTCCCACACAAGACAAACATTTATAGTGGAATCTAATGAATATTCCTTTCTGGTTCCTGTGCCAATGGAGAGCTATGGAAGTATCAAAATCTTTTTATTTGCATCTCCGTCTACGGAACTGGAAGAATATTTTATTTGATTTGGCTTTAGTTTATTCTGTGCAATGTTATGCCTCTAGTTGATACAATAAATGTTTATTGGGCTGGCCACAGCTGATGTCATGCTGTACCTTTTAACTCCTTTTATGTGACTATGCAATGTACAAAGAGCAGGTGATCCTTGCAAATGTCAAACATTAAAATCAAAAGTATTAAGCTGTTTTTCAAAGGATTGTTCTTTTCTAACCCCGCTGATACAACCAGGCTGTGAATTTCCAGTGAACAGTAAGTTCCGATTCCAGTTTTTCTTAAACCATTTTCTGCAAATCTTTTTCCTGCCTTGCAAATCCCATCTCTCCCACTGCCCTCTGTCTCTGCCCTCCACTCTTCCCCTCTCTCACACATTCAGTTTTGAGTGTAGTGGGTGTCATTTCTCTCTATCTCACCATCTGTTCCCACGATCAACCCTCACAGTCCAGCCCCTACTTTGCATCTAGTATGCCTGTTCTCTTTATCCTTGGTCTGTTGTACATTTCCTGTCTCTCCTTTGCCCTCTCTAGTATGTCTTTAGCCATCAGAGACCCAAGGGTGTGCTTTGACATCACAGCTAATTTGGGCTGGCTGTTATCGAACAAAAAGCCCTATCCTTGTTCCCCTGGCTGCGCGCTGCTCTTGCTTCCCTTGAACTGACACTGGCTGTCACTTAGCAGTTTAAGTGAGATGGAGTTAAGGAGTTAAACTGGTAGAAAACTCAGCCTTTAGCAGCAGCAGAAGAAAAAAAAACAAATTAGTTCTCAGCGGTTTTAGCTCACCGAACCAGGTCATCAGGATTTGATGAGTACCGGTGGCACTGCTGGGGATGGGGTAGAAAAGGTACATCGAAGAGGGGCAAGATCCCCTTTAGAAGCACAGCTGAAAGGTCAGTCAGTCTTTTGCAAACTGTCAGCCTTGTAACTCCTCCGTCTCTCTCTCCTGTATGTCTTCTGCTGCATTTTGCATGCTAAGGATTGGCCTGTCCCTTCCCTTAACAGCTCTTTGGCAGCAGTAGTGTCAGGGGGTGGGGGGGAGCGGTTTGCTGCTTCAAAGTAATTTAAAATGAACAGGGTCGGTTGTGCCTTTGCAGCCTTACAAAAGGAGCCGAGGGGTGTCATGAGCAGCCCCTAGTTTGAGAAGCAGCTTTGAGGGGAGAAAAGACAAGCTCCATGAAAGCAGCCGTGACTGGAGTGGGTGCCAGCTTTTTCGACAGACGGCAGCACCATGGTAGAAGGCAACCAAGGAGGTCCCACGGCTTTCCACAAGGTCTGCCTGTGGGTAGGGAGAGACGACATGAACAACTGCAACCCAAAGAGCAAAGGTTTCCAGCAGCGGGTACTCTGGAAGGC